GATATCAAAAAAGTACTCCAGAGTGTTGTTCAGCATGGGGGTGAGTAGAAAATGAAGGCTAATCATGTTTTGGGTGTACTATTCCTTTAATGTCCTCAGAGAGATAGAGCTCTGACTGAGGCAACCTCAGTACAAAAACATATACCTTTCAAAATCCCAACACACACACTCTCCCCCCAGGGGAACCGACCCACCCCCGGGATAAAGAACTTTCTCACATTCCGTAAAAGTTTAAAAAAAAACATCCACTGGACTTGCTTTCCAAGGTTTGAAGACGTTTCGCTTCCTCTCCAGGAAGCTTTCTCAATTCAAATGTCTGGATCCGCAGTGAGTTTGAGTCTTTATATAGAGAAGGCCTTGTATTGCTTGGAAACATGCAAATGGTAACCGATGAGTGGGTCGTTTGGTTCCATTGTTGGCCTGTAATACCTGAAACCTGTCTATGATTCTGAAGGTCGGTCGTTAAAGGCGGGGGGATTGCCTCCTGTAATACCTGAAACCCACTCATTGGTTACCATTTGCATGTTTCCAAGCAATGCAAGGCCTCGTCTATATAAAGACTCAAACTCACTGCGGATCCAGACATTTGAATTGAGAAAGCTTCCTGGAGAGGAAGCGAAATGTCTTCAAATCTTGGAAACCAAGTCAAGTTGATTGTTTGTTAAACTTTTACGGAATGACTATGACCTGGATGACTGAGAACCTTCATCAGCGTACCTCAACATCTTTTACTCCACAATAAACTCAGCCTTCTTTACAGTTTTACTGTTCATCTATAACCTATAATGCTAAGAGGTGTCGAGTAACAAAGAATAACTTTGTTACTAAAGTAGAAATGTTGGCTATCAATACTCTTAATGGAGTAATTATATTTTAAACAAGATTTTACTTTACATCTTTTTGCAATTATCTCTACTTTCTACTCCTTACATTAAAAAAATTACTTGTTAGTTTTGTTTAATTTAAGTTTATTTTCATTATGGCCTGTTGGTATTTGAAAAAAAAAACATCAAAATTAGTTTCATCCAGAAAATTAATTTATTTTTGGTTGGTGCTGCCCCAACCTGTTGCTCACCACATGCATACTGTTTCAAGATGATGGAAATGTGACACTGTTACACTAAGAGAATGAAATCTAAGGAAGTTATCATCCAGAATGGTAGAAAAATTTTCCTTTAATAGAGTAGAGCAGCAAAGCTTCTGTTCTCAACATGTTTTCCTGCATTACTTTTATACTTTAGCTTTAAAAATGGTACTTTTATACTTTATTTTGGAGTAAAAAGCTTAAGTTAATACTAATCACAACAGTAGGATTTATATTTCTACTGGATTAATAAATATAAATACTTTTGACATCTCTGGATATTTTTCATGTTTCACAGTGAAACTGATAAACATTTTTTATTAAAGGGAAGAAAATATTTCAGGCTTCTTCATGCAGTAATTGTGACGATTATGTTTTAAAGATAAAATGTTAAATCCGGTGCAAACTAAATTATTTCTATTTATATGCATTCTGTGTTTTGTTTGGGCTCTTTTGCACGAAGCACTGCACTTTTACCTTCCACTCAACTTTCTATATTTACAGTGTGCTTGGATACAGCAGCTTCTTTCGCAGCAACCTTCTCATCAGCAGCCGTCTGCAGACCCAGACTTCTCAGGAATCAGAAATATATAAAACAATTTTGTTTTTTTTCTATAAATCCTAATAATCCAGACGATGAGAAAGCTTTGAACTATTTCTGTTATTGCTTTTATAATATGGGTCAAACTGGTTGAACCGATCCAGCTGCAACTTTTAAAGCTTCTCTAGTTTTATTCTCATAAAAATAGTCAGAGAACAAAGTGAGGACCAGGATGAGCCGTTATGTGTCAAATATTTATTTCTTTAAAACGTTTATTACTTGATTTAATCCATGAAGGGAAAATTGGACATCTTTTGTTTCTCCAGTGTACAGCAAACCACAGCTGACGATGGCGTGTTCTAACCACAGCACACGGAGCATGTCGACCTCATGCTCAGTCTGGTGTGCTAATCGTGTTCTATACCGAATATGAACACACATCTGTTTATTTAGATATATATATATATATATATTTATAAAAGAGAAATCAAAGTTTAGATTTCTGATAGCATCTCTAGGCCTTTGGAACCCGCTCAGAGGACAGACGCTTCCACCGCACCTCCTTCTCCGTCTGCTTTCAAACTCTCCCAATCGAAAGCGACCGCTGCTGTGAGCCGCTTCAGCCTCTCCGGTTCCAGTCCAGAACCAGTGAACCCAGTCCTAAAAGTTCATTCCCATTTGTTCTTATTTTAACGCTCCCAACAGTGAGCCTGGCTGTCGCCATGGACACCGAAAACGCTGCATCAGTCAGCAGTTCCCAATGTTCTGCACGGTGACAGCGACCGGCTCCAGAACCGAACGCACGGTTCGGGTTTTACACACATCTGGAAACAAAAGAAAAAAATAATCTAAACACCAAAAATAAAGAGTTAAAAACCAGCGAAGGTCACGGTTCCTTCGCTGGCAGACGGTGGGTCCATCCACGGCGGAGAGGCGCTGATATGTGGCTGTAGGAGGAACAAGGCTGGTGGCAGCAGAAACACAGAAGAGGGGAGGGAGGGGGGCACTTCCTGAGGACTCAACAGGGTCCCATCAGACGCCGATTCACCCTGTTTCCTGGCAGCCTACGGCCGCTATGGCAACAGTCCAATGAGAGGCTCTGCTGAGCTTCTGATAAATCTATCATTTCTTTATTCTATGTTGGCAGTAACTGTTTAAAAAAAAGGTTTAAACTCTGACAGGGAAATAAGACTGCAGTGAACAGTGCAATCAATCAGAGAGGCAAAATAAAAACAGGAGGAGTTAACGGCGGCTCAGGTTAGACGATGAAGGAAGGGAAGCTTGGCAAAAATACAGGAAAACATAAAAACACCAGTTCTGTCCTTTAGGCTAATCTGCTAATCGTCGGGATTCATCTCCACGCCGACCGAGGAGTTCGTGATCTGTTGGCGGGACGTAGGCTGCGGGGGAGCAGGCCTCTGAAACGTGCGCACATGAGAGAGGCGGCGAGACCTTCCGTCTCTGGAGCACGGAGTCCTCGCTCCTTCCACAGAAAACCCGTCCCACGGAAAGTCTGTTCCTCCCCCCTCAGGCGCGGGGCGGAGCCGGGGCGTCCCGTGTGCAGCGGAGATGAGAAGGAGATGATCAACTGATGGAGGAGTATTTAGGGGGAGGTGGGGGGCTCATTTGATCCATTCCAAATAAAACCTGATCTGACATTTAATAATAATAATAAAAAAATCTGTACAATTCTTTTAAAGTTTCCATGATTAGTTTGTCCAAAGGGGACATTATTTCCATTTATTTTTCATTAAATCTTTATCTGCTCTTTAATTTAGACGCTCTGAGTCCCGTGTGGTGGTGTGAGAGTGTGAGGAGAGAGAGAGAGGACGCCTGCGGCCTTTCGGCGCCGCTTCGCTAGCAGCACTTTTTCTTCCGTTTACTGTTCCGGGTCAGTTTGACCACGTCGTTCTGTTGCTGCTGCTGCTGCTTGGCCAGCACCTCCTTCTTGGCTTTTAACACCAGCTCTGTGATGCAGTTAAACATCTGGGAACAGAGAAACACAGCGGCATTAAACTGGGAGGAAACAGACAGAAACCAGTTAAACTGAACAGATTCTAATGGGATTTTATTCCAGAGATTGAAACGAACGGAGTGAAAGGAAAATCCTCCATCACTTCCAGGCCTTCAAACCAAACATGTTATCATTTATTGTGCGTCATTTCATCTCAGGGTGAAAACCTCAGAGGTTTATAAGGGAACATCATTGAACAAACGCCATGGAGACCGAGGAAGGCAGCAGACGGATCAGTTAGCTTAGGCTACGTTCACACAGCAGCCTGACATTATCCAAATATAACTTTCTTTTGTGGATACAGCTCCTTTTTAAAATATTAACATATTGTGATGAAGTTCATTATTTTCCATAATATTCACCGTGGTCAGTGAACCATTTAGCAGTGGTTTGGTCTCTGTGAGCAGGTAACCGGACTCCGCCAGATGGATTTGCTCCGCATATCCATCTGGAAACCTTCAGTTGAAGTAATTTTGGGAAGAAAAATACTGGTTAGCTGATTGGCCTATGTTGGTGATAGACGGGCCAAATAAACCAATCAGATCAACGAAGCATATGACGTACTAACAGAGCGACGACGAAGAGGAGCCAATTGATAGATCAAACTCTTGCCGAAACAAGTCGGGAGAAGAGCAAAAACATCTTTTCCTCTGAGAAAAGCCTCCAGAGCAGTGTTTTGCTCTTCTTTCAGTGAAGAAATACTCTGTAATTCCGATAAAACTTGCTCGATAGCCACGCTAACGTTAGTTTCATCGGCTGAAGCCGCCATGTTCTTTAGACTGAACTGTCGCGCTTCTCGTTGCGTCACACCTCAACCCGCCTCAAAGCCAACGCTGATTGGACGTTCGTTTGGTGAACGGCTCCAAATTTTCTTTAACGGAGAGTCTCCAGACTGATTAGCGAGTGAAACCTTGAAAGCTCGCAAGATCAGGATGGTCTCACGAGGCTAGTGAGCAGGTGCCAGGTGGTGCTGAAAAATGAAATCATCTCCTTAAACTTTTCAGAAGATGGAAGCATGAAGTTCTCCAAAATCTCCTGATAGCTGCATTGATCCTGCCCTTAATAAAACCCAGTGGACCAACACCAGCAGCTGACATGGCGGCCCAGACCGTCACTGACTGTGGCTACCTGACTCTGGACTTCTGGCATTTTGGCATTTCCTTCTCTCCAGTCTTCCTCCAGACTCTGGCACCTTGATTTCCTGTAAAACTGAGCAACAGCTTCTCTGTAGCCCAGGTCAGGCGCCTCCGCCGCTGTTTCTGGTTCTAAAGTGGCCTGACCTGGGGAATGCGGCACCTGTAGCCCATTTCCTGCACACGCCTGTGTACGGTTGCTCTGGATGTTTCTACTCCAGTTTCCCTCCACTTCTTCCGCAGGTCCCCTAAGGTCTGGAATCGAACCTTCTCCACAATCTTCCTCAGGGTCCAGTCTCCTCTTCTGGCTGTGCAGCGTTTTCTGCCACTTTTTCCATCCCACTGAGGCGCCTTGATGCAGCAGCACTTTGGGAACAGCCTATTGGTTCAGAAATATCTTCCTGTGTCTGAGCCTCTTGCCTGAAGGTGTCAGTGATGGCGTTCTGGACAGCAGGCAGGTCGGCAGTCTGACCCATGATCGGGGTTCTGAGTGATGAACCAGGCTGGGAGTTTTAAAGGCCTCAGGAATCTTTTTCAGGTGTTTAGAGTTAATTTATTGATTCAGATGATTAGGTGCATAGCTCCTTTAGTGACATTTTTCATGATATTCTAATTTTGTGAAATAGGAATTTTGGTTTTTCATGAGCTGTATGCCAAAATCATCCGTATTAAGACAATAAAGGAACTGAAATATTTCAGTTATCGTGCAATGAATCTAAAATATATGAATGTTCAAGTCTTATCATTACATTATGGGAAATAATTAACTTTATCACAACATGCTAATATTCTATTATTTATTATTCCAAATATATCCCACCAGTATGTGATCTCCTGTGTGAACTGAGCTGTTCCACATGCGTAATAGAGGACACAATGACATCACAATCCAGGAAGTAAACATGGATGGCAGTGCTGCAGCTCATCTAGCAATCTTTCCCAACCTTAAGAGAGACACAGGTCGCATTTGAAAAGATCACATACGCATCGGATTCAGGACCACAGAGCCAAGTGGTCCATAGTGGGAAAAAAAAAATAAAAAAAATCAGATCTGTGTTTTGTTCACGCCGTCATTAAAATATCACATACAGGTTGCTTAAGGGCAAAATTCAGATTTGTGTCACATCAGGCAGTAGTGTGAACGTTGCCTTTGTCTTTATGCAACCTGGACCTGGTCTTTAATTTCAATCTTATTTAAAGATTGTTGTTAATGAACTGGCTGAGGCTGGGAAAGAAATGAAAGAGCTTTAGATGTGCCCGAGCGCTAGCATCCATGTTTATTTCTGTAAACACAGAGCACGCCGCCGCCTGTGACGTCACCGCATCCTCTACTGCACATATGGGAAACTTATGTTGCACTAATGCCGGCAGAGTGAACATGGCCTCAAGCAGGGCAAACACTTTGCAATGTTTTTAATCACTGCAAGGAGCAACAGCTCACACTGTACGACAAAAGTTCACAGCTCACGATGTTTTTTCCTCACACTGTGCGACCCGACGCTCCGATACGATCTAATGACGGCTGACTGAATTTCAAACATGTTTGATTTTCTCCCAGCATTACGATTCCTGATGGGAGGTGGTCGTGAGAAGCCGATCGCCCCTCGTTACCCCCCATCACTACACCACGCACCATCAGGCTGAAAGTCGGGCCCGATCTAAAAATTCTCGCACTGAAGAATCGACCCAAAAAGGGCAAAAAAAAAAAAAGTAAAGTGCACGCCCGGATTTTTACCCACTTTTTTTTACTTGCGCATTTTGTCCTAATATGAGCCCCCCCTTTCCTTTCACTCTGCGCCTCCCTGTGTTTCTCCAGCACATAAAGCTACGTCCCTCCTACCTCTTCAACGTTGATGTTCTCCTTCGCGCTCGTCTCAAACAGGCTGATTCCCATCTGCTCTGCGAACTTCTGAGCGTCGGTCGTCTCCACCACCTTGGAGCTCGGGTCGTCGTTCTTGTTTCCCACTGGAACGTTTCCAGAAAGCATTCATGGGTTAACGGAGGCCACCGTCCCGAAGGACGCCTTCAGAAGGAAACCCACCTAATATTCGGCACACGTCGTCACAGTTCTGGTTGATTTCATGTAACCATCGTTTGACGTTGACGAAGGACTCGGCACTCGTGACGTCATAAACCACTATGACCCCGTGCGTCCCTCTGTAGTATCTGAGGAGCAAAAGGAGACGGTGAGCGATCAGACAGCTGGTTCATACTGATGACCGACACATTAAGAGGCTCCTGAGGTAAAGATAGCAAAGATAACACAAGGAAAGGTGCGATTTTGGAATTGGTTCAGGTTATCCTGAGCTATCTCTATAGTTCTGCTGCTATAGGCTTAGACTGCTGGAGGACATAGGGACCCCTTTTTCATCATTCTGCTTCATTCTATCTCTATTCTCCCACTCTGCAGAATCTGTTAGTTCAATCTCTAACGTTCTGCTCTCTCTGCTTTTTCTCATAGTAGCTTCATCTGGTCTGAAACTTTGAGCGAGCGTGGAGCGTCCTAGCACAACTTAGAGCGGCGCAGCGAATGAGCGAACATCCTCCTGGGTGGGGAGCGGGAATTGCGCTCCGCTCTGTTGGTTATCAGACAGATACATCTGTAGAAAAAGACAATAAAAATCCAAAAAGATGGAGAACATCCAGCAGACTGGAACTGGATCAGACCAGATTACAGCTCAAAACACCTCGTATATCACACTGTGGCGTACAGCAGAGGATCTGTGATGCTGTGGGCCAGAAAGCACTAAATCTGGAGCTTTTTACCAGTAAACTAGAACTGGGCTCATCGGTTTCAACACGACAGAACTGGTTCATCAGATGAGGAGGAGGGGAGACGTACGGAGATGCAGAGTTAGACGCCCCGGGTAGAAAGCCCACCAAGCTGGAGCCTTTATTTGACGGCAATCACAGGAGCTTTGCTGCTGAATTCATCCCATCAGCTCATCTCCATCCTCCTAAGTTTGTTAGTTTTAAACATTTTATCAAACTTCAGCTGTTTGACAGACAGTCAGAGCTTCTGGAATTCATTTAGGACATAACGAGGCGCCATGACCTCCACTTCAGTGACAATGGGCCTGAACGGGCCTCCTGTTCTGCAGCCTTATTAAACTGGGACGGGAATTCTCCTCTGGGGCCCAAACATCCTCATGACTTTATCCCTTCAGGAAGATTTGGATTCCTGCTCGTCTGCGCTGCTGCTGCAGTCCTGCTGCTCATTACTGAGCGCTTCGGACTAGAAGCAGCAATGCACTAAATTCACCAAGGCAACAAAAAAAAATAAAAAAAATCCTGCAGCTTGATGCAAACTTTAGATACTTCTGACTGAAGATTTATGTAAAATCAGAGAGTTAATTAATTTAGCAAAACGCAGTTTGAGTGCAATAAAGAATCTTTATTGTTTCTAAAGATCCTGTCGCCACCAGCAGGTTTCCTCACGCTTCGTTTGATGGTGAACTATATTTTAACTTTACTAAAAACTGCTGATAACTTCATCAGACACATCTTTTTATATATACCGTTAAGAACAAGTTCAAGTATTTACAACGGCAGCCTGACAAGCGGAGTAACCACTTAGGAAAAGGGAAGTAGGGCTAAAATAAATACATTAGTAATACATACAGAAAATACTATTTAAGACGCAACAGAAAACCCAAAGATGACTGTAGAGAAGCAGCTGCAATGGCAGGATGAAATTGGAATGAGTCTATCCAGTTTAAGAATATTTTACAGACCGTTCCAGTCACCAGCAGCAGCAGATTTTACAGAGTTAGGCCATTTCTTAATCTGTGTACTTGTGCGTTCTTGTGAAACGTCATCAGCCTCAGCCCTAGTAC